CAGTTGGTTTTGTTGTGGTGTTGGCCCACTTCATTTATTATTTGTGCTATTTGCAGCTTTTCTTTAAATTTGCCAGTGGTTTGCCAATTTTGTTAATCTTTTAAAAGCACCACCTTCTTGACTTGCTCATTTTTCTGTATTCTGCTTAGTTTATTTCCCAGTCTGATCCTTATTATTTCTTTTCTTCTGGAGACTGTAGGCTTCCTTTGTTGATCTTTTTTCAGATTGTTGGAGTTGTTGCATCAAGGTGTTGATTTTGGTTCTTTTTTTCCTTTTTTGATGTGTGCATTGACTGCTATAAATTGACCTCTGAATACTGCTTTCATTGCATCCCAAATGTTTTGGTATGTTGTATTCACCTTCTTGGTTGTTTCTACAAGTGGCTTTTTTTTTTTCTTTTTTTTTTTTAATTTCATACTTTATTTCTTCTGTTACCCAGTAGTTCTTGAGTAGTCTGGTATTCAGTTTCCATGTATTTAAATTTTTTTCTCCTGGGCTTCCTATTGCTGATATCTAATTTTATGGCACTGTGATCTGAGAAGATTCTTTTTAACATCTTGATGTTTTAAAATTTATTGAGGCTTGATTTGTGGCCTAATATATGGCCTATTCAGGAGAATGATCAATGTTCACTGTAAAAGAATGTGTACTGTGTTTTTGTTGGGTGGAGAGCTCTGTTTATATCTATGAGTCAAGTTGCTTGACTGTGTTGTTGAGATCTTTTGTATCTTTGTTGAGTCTTTTTCTAGTTGTTTTGTCCTTCATTGAAAGTCATGTGTTAAAGTCTCCTACTATTATTGTAGTGTTGTCTATTTCTGCTTTCAATTCAGTCATGTTTGCTTTAAGTATTTCAGAGCTTTTTCATTGGGTACATAGATATTCGTTATAATTATGTCTTCTTGGTCTATTGACTCTTTTAACATCATACAATGCTCTTCCTTGACCCTTATATGAGATTTTGCCTTGAAGTCTATTTTATAAGACATTGCCACCTGCTCTGTTCATTGCCATTAACTTGATAAATTTTTTACCATTCCTTGATTTTTAATTTATTTTTATCTGTGTCTAAGATGAGTCTCTTGTAGGCAACATATTGATGGGTCTTATTTTCTCATCCAATCTGCCACTCTGTTTCTCCTGACTGCTGCATTTATTCTAGTCACATTTAATATAAGTAATAAGTATGAATTTGCTGTTATCATTCTATAGTGTTTTTTTTGTACTGATTGTTCCAAATATTTTTTTTCTGTGCTAAGTTCATTTTATTATCAAGTTTTCTTCATTATTGTTGAATTTGTGTTTACTAAATCCTTGTGATTTTCTTTCTTATTTTGGTTAAAAAGCTTATTAATTTTCTTTCAGAAAAGAAAATTACCTGAAAATAAATTATCTCTCTAAGTTTTGAACACTCTGTTCTATATTGGCATTGTCTTGACTTCTTCTCCATATGGAAGTTTTATAATTATACTATTTATCTCCTCTATCTGCTTTGTAGAGAGTTCTGGTGACATAATGCTATTTATCTCCTCTATTTGCTTTGCAAGGCGCTCTGGTTGTGCAGTGCCTAAGGCATTTGACTGCTAACCAGAAGTTTGGTGGTGCAAACCCACCAGCTGTTCTGTGGAAGGAAGAAAGGGCAATCAACTTCCGTTAAGGATTTACAGTTTTGGAAACCCAATGGGAGTTGCAATTGATTTGATGGCAGTGAATTTGGGTTTTTTTTTTTTTTTGCATTGTAGTTGAAATCATTAACAGATTTACCCCTCTGGTGCTCTATTTTCCATTTTATAAGCTTACTTTAAGGAGCTCTGTGGTACAATGAGTAAGGCATTTGGCTGCTAACCAGAAGGTTGGTGGTTCAAACCTATTAAGCTGCTCTGTGGGAGGAAAATGAGACAATCTATTTCTGTAAAGATTCATAGCTGTGTAAATCCTATGGTGGTTGCTATGAGTTGGAACAGACTCCATAACACTGTGTTTGGTTCTTTTGGTTTAAGCTTCTTTCAGATTTGAGAATTCTTTTCTTGGGTGGTTTCTGGGTAGTATTGTCACATGTTTTAATCTTAAATTGTCTTCTGTTGCTGGTTTCCTATTGGAAGGACTCCCTTTAACATTCTTTTTAGGGTTGGTCTGGTTTATACAAATTCCCTTAATCTCTATTTGTCTAGGAATATCCTAATTTCACTATCACATCTGAGGGATATTTTGCTGGATATAATTCTTGGTAGGCATTTTTTTTTCCTTCTAGATTTTATATATGCCATCCCATTGCCTTCTTGCCTGCATGGTTTCTGTAGAGAAATCAGAACTTAGTCTTATTGTTTTTCTGAGTTGCTCTCAAGATTCTTTCCCTGTCTCTGGTTTTGGAAAGTTTGATTATGATATGTCTTGGTGACTTTCTCTTGAGGTGTATCCTGAATGGGATTCACTGAGCTTCTTGGATGGATATCTTTTCATCTTTCATGATACTGGGGAAGTTTTCTGTTAGCAAGTCTTTAACAACTTTATTTTATTTTTGCCTCTTCTTTTTTCTGGAATTCAAATCAGGTGTATGTTATTTCTTTTGATATCATCCCATATAGCTCTTATGTTTTATTCATTCTCTTTTCTGATTTTTCCTCATATAAGCTGGTGTCAAGGGATTTGTCTTCTAGCTGGGATATGAGCTCTTAAGCCATTTTGATTCTACTCTTTTCTCCTTCCTATGTGTTACCTATCTTAATTTTAGGTTCATCTTCTGGATATCTAATTGCTGTCTTTGCATGATTTCTGTTTATTTATTTTGTCATTTTGTTCTTGTATGATTTTCCTGAAATTTTCAAGGGGATTGTTTGTCTTCTGCTTGCTTCTGTTTATAGTTTTCTTGAGCTCTACAAAGGTCCTATATATACATGTATCTTCTGAATTCCTTATCAGGTAGTTCTATTACCTGTTCTTCCTCGAGGAGATTTCCTAGTTCTTTATTCTGGTCACTTCCTTTTGCTATTTTGTCTTGTTTCTTTGTTTCAAATGAAGTTTTCTGTTGTCCAAGACATTTTTAAGATGTTATTTTTATCTGTTGATTGTGTTTTGATTGGTTTGTTTCATTCTGGTTTTTGTTTTGCTTTGTTTCAATATATCTGGATGAGTGGGGCAAAAGTGCTTCTTTGGTTGTTAACTTGGCAGCACTTGAGCACTCTCCAGATATCTCTAGATTACTGGAATAACTAGTGTGAATGTGGGTAAGGGTCTCTGTTTGACGTGAAGAGGAGCTGTAGTTGGCATGAAAAAATGTTGTCCATTGTCTGTTACTGATCCAGTGGTGTAGGAGCTGATAGTGGTGCTTGTCCATTGGGTGAGGTGGTCAGTGTAGTAGATATGGTTGACTTATGGAGAATTAATATCCTCCTCCTTGAATTCCTCCTGATCTTCCCATCTTGTGTCATTATCACCATGTGGATTCTGTGAAGTTTTATTTTTTTTTTTTCCTCATCATCAGTCTCTGATGTCTCTAGTCAAGATGTCCTCACTTCAGCTGGTCCCAGCCTGTTCTCTTCCCCTGTCACTAATCTTGCTCCATTTCTCTTTCTAGTAAGCATTCAATCTAATTCTTTATTTTCTCATCTGATTCTCAGAATTCCAGAATTATTATTTGTATCTGTTTTACTCAATTTTCACAGGTCTCTGTTTTAGAGGCATTGGACAGAGTATAGTTAGCAGGACACCATCTTGTCTCTCTTCTTATTAAGTTCAAAAAGCAAAAGTGAGTTACACTGCTCTTGAAAGAAGAAGTTCTAACAATATTAGAAGTTAATGAATTTCTTTTAACATCACATGCACATGCACATCTTGAGAAAGTATAACACGACTGGATCCTAATGGCTTAACACTATTTAATCTATCCTCTAGAATCTGAAGTAATTAGTGAGCACTTGATTTTGCATATGTTAGAAAATATTTTCTTTAGAATTGTTGATAGAACAAACAAGTTAACTTTAAAAGTTAGTACTGTTATTTTAACTATATACAACACAAATACAACCACGGTCATGGAATCGGATCTGACTCATAGCCACCCCTCCTTGGGTTTTTGAGGCAGTATCACTACGGAAGTAGACTGCACAACCTTCCTTCCAAGGAATGACTGGTAGGTTGGAACCACAAGCCTTCTGGTTAGCAGTCAAATGCCTTAGGCACTATGCCACCAGAGCTCCCATTTTAACTATAGCTATTCAATAAATATTTACTGAGCTATATGGTAAGCAGTATGCTAGGACTTGAAGAAATAATTTGAAAAAAAAAATAATCCCTGCCTTTGAGGAATTCACAATCCCATCAGGGAGGCAGCTGTGGTACAGGAGTTGAAGCTATAATGAGCATGACTGTTGTTGTTGTTGTTGTTGTTGTTGTTGTTATGTGCTGTCGAGTCGGCCCTGACTCATAGCCACCCCCTTTGGGTTTCCGAGGCAGTATCACTATGGAAGTAGATTGCCCAACCTTCCTTCTGAGGAGTGGCTGATGGGTTTGAACCGCCAGCCTTCTGGTTAGCAGTCAAGTGCCTTAGGCACTACGCTACCAGATATGTAAATGGACAAAGTACTATGAAAGCACTGGGGACAGAATAACTGGGAAAAACTATGAAACTTTATAGAACAGGTGATTTTTGAGCTGCTCTTAAAAAGCAGCTGTGGCTGTATTAACCTTAACCTGGAAAGAAGTAGGGCAGAAAAGAAGATTAAAAACAGACAAACAGCATATGCACAGACTCAGGTCATGAAAGACCGTATTTGAGAAGCAATGTGAAATATGATTGTACTTCTTCAAATTAGGAAATGTAAATAATACGAAAAATCAACATTAATGTAAATGTAAATTAAATGAAAAAGGTAATATTATAAGCTTGCCCATGTAATCATTTGCATTTATAATAATTTATTGAAATATTAAAATATGACCATATATAACCATTAAATAATATAAAAGTAATCATTTACTTAACCAACATTCACAAATGTACTTACTTATAATAGTGTTCCCAGAGATTTCTGTATCTTCCTTGACCTGACATATCAAACACTGTAAAAGACAAACTACAAAGAGCAAACAAACAAGAAAATAACTAAATTATAAGTTACTAATTTAAAGTGCAACTTTTACTTAAAATTTCAAACTGATCAAATGAAAGAAGTAACTCTTGATGTACAATATTTCAACTTATACCAATTTTCAAGTAAATAGTGCAAAAGATGAATTTAGTGAATAAAATATGATCTTGCAATAAATAACATAAAAAGATATTCTTTTTTGGTAGTGAAATTATCAGTTTGTTTAAACACTAAATTCTGAAGAATAATCCATAGGTGGTGGTACAAATATGTTAGTAACTACAGGCTTGTGAGTAACAAATTATTTTTTCTAAGAATGAATATCCTAAGATCTAATATCATCATTTTTCACACATAGCTTCTTTTTCTTTTTCTCCTTAAATTATAATTTTTATTTTGAGAAAATTTAAAACCAAACAGAAAAGTACAAAGAGCTAGGTTAATAATTACCAAGTTTCCCACCACCACATTTAGTTATATTTCTTCAAGAAAAAAAATTTCCTTAAGGATTCACCACCATTAATCACTTTATCAGTGTCAAATGACACATCCAATGAAGAAAATAGATAATACCTATCGTTATGGAGCTTACATTCTGGTGGAGGAAAATGACAATAAAAATATTTTATATATAAATTTTCAAAAATAAAAAATATATATTTTATATATAAATTTTATATATTAATCTATGTCTCTACACACATTCATGAGTTGGAATAAACATAACAATAACAACCTGTATATGTGGGGGAGAAGAATTTTAAATAAAATTAAAATAGTCACCCTTAGCTTTTTAATCAAAGTATATTGTCATTGTATGCTGTTAAGTTCACTCTGACTCATAGCTACCCCATGGGACAAAGTTGAGCTGCCCCACTGGCTTTTCTTGGTCATAATCCTTTTGGAAGCAGATTACCAGGTCTTCCTCCTACGGTTGCCAACCTTCTTTTTAGCAGCCGAACACTTAACCAATGAGCCACCAGGGTGCTTTAATCAAAGTATAAATAAAGTGAATTACCTGGATGATTTGAATTTTTCTATGCTGAATCCTATTGTTGGAACTATATCTTGAGCTTGAGCCTTTTAAGAGAAAAGACAAAAAAGTTTGGACATTTACAATTACAAATATGAACTTTTTCTCATATTAAATAATAAGAAAAAGGCAACAAAACTTCCTTCCTAAAATCTGCCACTAGGGAGATAATAACAATATTAAGCAAAATTATAATTTTTATAATAGGATTACTGTGTGTAAATTCTTTATAGAAGTTTAAATTTTACTATTGTGAATCTGCATAATGTGGATGTCTTTATTCACATTTTATGGTTTGCTGTCACCCAAGACTTAGTGGTTTTAGTAAGGCACTGAGTTTTCATATAGAATTTTCTAGTCTTTCAACATAGCCTGAGTTTTTATATGCTAGGGATTGTCCACATGTGTAAATAGTTAACAAGAGAGACAAAGTTTCTGTCCTCATGAAGCTTATAACCTGGAGGTAAAGAGCAATAAACAACTAACACAATTTTGGGTAGTGATAAGGGCAAAGAAAGGTGATTGAGGTTGGGAGATAGCAGGGCAGAAGGTAGCAGTAGGATGGCTTGGAAGAAAGGTACTCAAGAAAAGCTTCTCTGAAGAGATGACATCTGACAAGGGAGTAAATGACAAGGGTTGAAAAACTATGACATTCTGGCAAAGAATATTTCAGTTAGAGGAATCAGACAGTGCAAAGTACTGGAGGCAAGAAGGAACTTGGCACTCATGAAAACTAGGTGGACTGTATGGCTGAAACACTGAGTAAGGGAAAGATAAACATGTAATAAAGAAATAGAGGTAACAGGGAATTCTGTATGGAGAAGAGAATGAAAGGTGGTACAAATTTAGCAGGAGATCTGCTGCCGGGCCCCTATGCAATTAAAATGCATATCGATAAGCTAACTCATCAAATGACTCCTAATATTTCTATCACTAAAATGGTTCCTTCTTTTCAATAAAGTCCATCCATTTTCTGATTTAGAAACCCAGGAGTTATTCCTGACTCTTTCCTTTTCGGCATTCCATATATAATCATTCTCTAAGTTTCATCAGGGAGCTCTGGTAACATAGTGCCTAAGGCACTTGACTTCTAACCAGAAGGCTAGTGGTTCAAACCCACCAGCCACTCCTTAGAAGGTTGGGCAATCTATTTCCATAGTGATACTGCCTTGGAAACCCAAGCAGGGGTGGCTATGAGTCAGTTCCAGACTCAACGGCACATAACAACAACAACAACAACAACAACAAGCTTCATCATTTGAGTTCAGGCCCTTAGCATTTCTTGCTCTGAATTACCACAGCAGTATCCTAATTGCTCTTCATTAGCTAAACTACCTTGGGTACTATCACTTAAGTTATCCAAGGCTTACTGTTCTTCTATTTGAAATATATTATTACTATCCTTAACTCATAAGGTTAATCATGAGAATTAATTAATGGATGCAAAATATCATGACAGTACTTGTTGCATGCCATCAAGTAGATACTGACTCACAGTAATCCTATATGACAGAGTAGAACAGCCTCATAAAATTTCCTAGACTTTAATCTGCAAGAGCAGAGTGCTAATCTGAGATCATTTCTCCCGCAGAGTAATTGGTGGGTTAGAACCATTGACCTGTTATCAGCCTGGCACTTTAACCACTGTGAGGCCAGGGATCTTTAGACAGTGGCTGATTTATGATAAATACTCAATAAATGTTTGTTATTATTATAATTATGTTCTTACTGACTTTATTTTTGTCCCTAATTTTCTCTATACTGCCATGATTTTAATTAAACAAAATGAAACAAAAAAACCTCCTCCAGTTCATCTTGTTGCTTTTATGTGAAAATATGTGGAGTATAGGGTAAATTGTTGCTTGACAATATTATATTCACTATGGTTGTCTACTTCAGCAAATTTAAAACTCAAATGGAAAGAAAGAAGCTGTTAAAGTAAAAAGACATTGTTCTTGTTGTGTTGTTATGTGTCGTCAAGGTGGACCCAACTCATAGCAACCCCTCCTTGGGTTTCCAAGGCTGTATCACTATGGAAGTAGATTGCTCAACCTTCTTTCCGGGGAGTGGCTGGTGGGTTTGAACCGCTAGCCTCTGGTTAACAGTCAAGTGCCTTAGGCACTACACTACACACATTAGTCATCTTTATATCAATGTACTAGCAAAAAGCACCCACGCTTTTGGCCAGAGTGCTGTTGTTCTGCTTTTTTAAGTTTGGTTACTCAGCTTTCCTAAGTCCAATAAGCTTAACTCATTCAGTAATAATTCATTAATAATCAGAACATGGAACATACAAATTATAAATGTGGGAAAATTGGAAGGTGTCAAACATGAAATGAACAGATAAAGATCAATATCCAAGGCATTAGTGAGCTGAAATGGACTGGGTTTGGCCATTTTGAATCAGACAATCATATGATCAACTCTGCCAAGAATGACAAATTGAAGAAGAATGGCAGTACATTCATCATCAAAAAGAACATTTCAAGATCTATCCTTAAGGATAATGCTGTCAGTGATAGGATAATATTCATACACCTACAAAGAAGACCAGTTAACACGACTATTATTCAAATTTACACACCAATCACTAAAACCAAAGATGAAGAAGTTGAAGATTTTTACCAACTTCTGTAGTTCGAAATTGACCACACTTGTAATCAAGAAGCATTGATTACTGATGGTGATTGGAATGCAAAAGCTGGAAACAAAGAACAATCACCAGTAGCTGTAAAATATGGCCATGCTGGAGACCACATGACAGAATTTTGCAAGACCAATGACTTATTCATTGCAAATACCTTTTTTCAACAACATAAATGGCAGCTATACACATGGACCTCGCCAGGTAGAATACAAAGGAATCAAATCAACCAAATCTGTGAAAAAAGACAATGGAGAAGTGCAATATCAACAGTGAAAACAAGGCCAGGAGCTGACTGTGGAATGGACCATCAATTGTGCATATGCAAGTTCAAGTTAAAGGTGAAGAAAATTAAAACAAGTTCACAAGAGCAAAAATATGATGTTAATTATACCCCACCCAAAATTACAGATCATCTGAAGAACAGATTTGACTCACTGAACACCAATGACAGAAGACCAGACAAGTTGTAGGATGACATCAAGAGCATCATAAATGAAAAAAAAAAAAAAGTCATCAAAAAGACAGGAAAGGAAGACCAAAATGGCTATCAGAAGAGACTCTGAAACTTGTTCTTGAATGCAGAGTAGCTAAAGTGAAAGGAAGAAATGATGAAATCAAAGAGGTGGACAGAAGATTTCAAAGGGTATCTCGAGAAGACAAAGTGAAGTATTTTGATAAAATGTGCAAAGACCTGGAGTTAAAAACCAAAAGGGAAGAACATGCTCAGCATTTCTCAAGCTGAAAGAAATGAAGAAAAAATTCAACCCCTGAGTCGCGATACTGAAGGATTCTGTGGCAAAATATTGAACAATGCAGGAAGTATTACAAGAATGGAAGGAATATACAATCACTGTACCCAAAAGAACTGGTCAACATTCAGCTATTTCAGGAGGTGCCATAGTTTAAAATCAGTAAGGGTTGTATCCTTTCACCTGATTTATTCAATCTGTATGCTCAGCAAATAATCCAAGAAGCTAGACTATATAAAGAAAAATGCAGTATCAGGATTGGAGGAAGAATCATTAACACCCTGCAATGTGCAGATGACACCTTGTTTGTTGAAAGTGAAGAAGACTGCACAACTTACTGATGAAGATCAAAGATTACAGTCTTCAGTATGGATTACACCTAAACATAAAGAAAACAAAAATTTTCACAACTCGACCAAAAAGCAACATCATGACAAATGGAGAAAAGATTGAATTTGTCAGGGATTTCATTATACTTGGATCCACAATCAACACCCATAGAAGCAGGAGTCAAGAAGTCAGATGTTGTACTTCACTGGGCAAATATGTTGCAAAAGATCTCTTTAAAGTTGTTGTTGTTGTTGTTATGTACCGTAGAGTCAGACCTGACTCACAGCGACCCCTTCTTGGGTTCCGAGGTAGTGTCACTACAGAAGTAGATTGTCCAACCTTCCTTCCAAGGAGTGGTCAGTGGGTTTGAACTGCCAGCCTTCTGGTTAGCAGTCAAGTGCCTTAGGGACTACGCTACCAGAGCTCCTCTCTTTAAAATATTAAGGAGCAAAGACATCACTTTGAAGACAAAGGTGAAACTAACTCCAGCCATGGTACTTTCAATTGCCTCATATGGGTATGAAAGCTCGATAACGAATAAAGGAGACCAAAGAAGTGCTTGCTGATGCCTTTGAATTGTGGTGTTGGTAAAGAATACTGAAAACATCAAGGATTGCCAGAAGAATAAACAAATCTGTCCTGGACGAAGTACAACCAGAATGCTTCTTGGAAGCAAGAATGGCCAGATTTTGTCTTACTGACTTTAGTCATGTTGTCAGAGGGGACCATTCCTTGGAGGAAGATATTATTCCTGGTACAGCAGAGCATTAGTGAAAAAGGGGAAGAACCTCAATGAGATGGACTGACACAGTGGTTGCAACAAGGGGCTCTAGCATAGCAAGGATTATGGGGAAGGCACAGGACCGGGTGTGTTTTGTTCTTTTGTACAAAGGGTTCTTAGGAGTTAGAGACGACTCGATGGCACCTAACAACAACAACATAAGCTTCCGTAATAGTCTTTCAAAAATATTTTTCCTTTTGCTTATGTTAGTAGAATTGATTTCCTGCTATTAAGATTACGAATACATTGGGGCACTTTCATTCCACAAAAAGTTTGGAAATAAGAACTTCCTAACTTTTTGTTGTCCTCCAAAACCCCACTGTTTTGATTTCAAAGGTTTTTAATGCATAAATTATGCAATAAAATCATTACATATCATAATTAGGAAAAACACAGCAATAACAAAAAAAGTGGTAAAGTTAAAAGCTTTAAGAAATCTCAGAAAATATAAGTCAAAATGGTAGCCTTGTCTTCATTGAATTGTAATTAATATATTCATCTAGCCTATCCAGGACCACCTATGATCTTCATAATCTGGTTTAGTTTCCAGAGTTGTTGTTGTTGTTGTTGTTGTTGTGTGTTGTCGAGTCGACCCATAGCCCCACTTCAATTGCTTATTCTACTTGTAGGGATAAAATCTTCAACTTTTTCTTCTTCCCCTCACTTCTGAAGTTCTATTTAAAGTCCATGAGAAAAAAAAAATTCCATAAATTAACGATGACAGACAAGTTATATGAGCTAGTGCTCCCAGATTCAAGTGGGGTCCATTTTCCTCTACAGAACACCAACAAAGCCTTCAACATTACTATACCTTGATTTTATTCAGGAAGAAATACATTTGGTCAGTCTCTAAAATGGATATGGAATGTGACAAAGCAAACAATAAGTGTAGGAATTATTATCTAAGTGGAGTAGACCATCTGAGACAGCCCAAAGACAGATCAACATCAGCAAGACTAGAACAAGATTTCAGAGACAGACCCTATTTGGAACAAGATTTCAGAAAGAGACCTTATTTGGTTAATTTCATTAAGTCTGCTAAAAATGGTATCATCATCATATAAACATCAATTATCCTATCTTGTTGGGTAAGACGCTACAATTTCCTCTTAAAAAACAAAAATCTTCCTGCAATCAATTTTGTCAGGAGACAGTACCCAAGGTAGTGTGCGCTTTTTAACCTGCTCTTTTCCTTACTGGGGAGGAATATCTTTTCCCCTGTAGATGGAATACTATTCAAATGGCACTCCTGCTTTTCTACTGTCCTCTCTTCTCCCCCTCCACCTCAATGTAGTCCTCTCTGTGGAAAAAAAAATTATTTATCTGACTGCTCAGTTTGTGCGATGGAGCTGAGCATGTTTGGCTCAGCCCCTCCTTTCCTCCCTCTCTCTTGAGAGCCAGCTGCTTATGGAGGCATGATGCATTCTCATCTGCTCTTAGCCAGGCAGTGAACCCAGAAGAGCAGGTTGTTTCCCCAAGGAGGAAAGCTTGAAATTTTGGGAAACTAATCTCAATTTAAGAGAGTGTTAGCTAGTCTTTTGACCAGATCTAAACCAGGCTCTCTAATATCAGCCTTTCCAAGAATAAAGCTGGTATTTTATATCTGTCTGATTTCAGCATATATATCTTAGTTTATTCTCAACTTAGCTGAAGAGCCCTCAAAAAAAACTCTATTACCTTCCAAATCCATTTTCAGCATCTTATCCTGGCTGCCTCAAACTAACTCCCACCTGAAAATACACAGGCAGTTAGTTGTTTTTACATGGTAAATTCTCATCATTATAGAAGAGAATAATGACAGAAAGATAATCTCTACCTGAACAGAAGTAAAACAAGCTGTCCTGAAAGAAACTATATGTGAACTGCTGTATGAAAAGTGAATTTACTCTGTAAATCTTCACCCAAATCCTAATAAAAAAAAAAAAAAGACTAGAAAAAAAAATAAAAGTATTTACATTTACCTTTAATTATCACATACAAGAGCACTGTTTCAGTCATTCAATCATCAAAAATACAACCTTCCTATTATTTGCCCTATCCATATACCATCTGCAAGACTTTTTTACTGAACATTTTTCACTGGTTGACTAATAGTTTTAATTAAATAAAGCTGTTTACCAACTATGCAGAACATTAGTTGCCTGCTCAATATCCATTCTCCCCTCCTTTCATACTTACAAGACCTCCATGTTTTTGAAGGAGTCCCTCAGTAGTGCAGGTTGCTAAACAAATGTACTTGGTTGCTAACCAAAAGGTGAAGGTGTGAGTCCATCCAGAGGTGTCTTGGAAGAAAGGCCTGGAGATCTACTTCTGAAAAATCAGCCACTGAAAACCCAATGAACATAGTTCTACTCTGACATATATGGGTTGCCATGAGTTGGAATCAATCAGTGGTTACTGATTATATTTTTGGAAGCAGTAATATTTTGCTTTAAAAAAATATTCCAGCTTTATTTGCAAATAGGGGTAGTCAGTGAGGTAAGAGTCATCAGGTGAGCATTCTGAGTAAGCTCTTTAAAGACGGTTCATTTAGTAAAAAGGCCTGTCCTTTTGCTTTTTCTTTTCTTCATCCTACACCTTTGAATATGGATATTATGGTAAACTAAGGTGACCATGTGGAGACATTAACAATGAAAACCAGGTACTAATGATAGCTGAGCAGAAAAAATAGAAGATCTAGATCTCTCATAATTACATAAGTGCAAGACCAGCCCTGGGATAGTTCTTCTGCCCTTATTTACATAACAGAAAAATAAGCCTCCATCTTATTTAGGACACTGTTATGTATGTAGCAGAGCCTAACTCCAACTTAGGTGTTGAATGTGCTAGCTTTATATATTTTTCTGATAGATATTTTAAAATAGTTATTAAAATATTAACACACATATAACTTAAAATCTTCTTGCTAACTACTATTAAGCATACCATATTTTAGGGAAAATAATCTAATAGATAAATTATTCAGAGATTATTATAAAGATGATCCCCTTTCCCTCTGGTTTTGTTCCTCCTGTGAAGACAGAATCATAAAGAAGGCAATACAATCTGAAGGTACGATTGGTAAATTTATGAAGATTTTTTGAGGAAAAAGGTACTTTCAAAGAGAACTTTCTAGTCTCAGTAATCAAGATTTACATACATATATATATAAATATAAATATATATATATAT